ATATATAATGGAAGGAAACTGAGAATAAATTACCGAGATTGCAACCCATACACGAAATTGGAATCAATTGAAATAAAGCATAAAAAAAATGAAATAGATCTAATGAAATCAAAGCATAAAAAAATATGAGCACATGGAGAAAAATCGACCAAAAAGAGAAAACGTAAAAATAAGAGATAAAAGGGGGTAGAAGAAGAAGAAAAGGGGAAGAACAAAAAAAGAGAAGAATTGAGAAAAATTGGCCAAAAAAGCATAAACATAAAAAGGAGATATAAGAGGTGAGAGAAGGAAAAGAAAAGGGGAAGAAGAAAGAGAGAAGAAACGTGTAGAAGAAAAGAAAAGAGAGAGAAAAAAATAAAGATAAAGATAAACTGTTAATTTGAAAAAGAGGTAAATATGAAAATACAAAAGAGTAATGCTGTCTAAATAGTGAACAAGCCCTGTATTGTAAAATGTTTAAGTATATAGTCAAGGGGCGTCATTTTTTCTTTATTTTGTTGTAATTATAACCAGATAAAATAACATATTCTCCATTCATGACATATAGTTATAATTATATATGATACAAATATTTTTATCTTCCTTTTTGAGACAATAGTTTAAAAGACAAGGTGTGAATAAATAGTGTGATTAATATTTCAAATATCTAATTTAAAAAAATAGATGCCTACATATGCACAACTATTAATAGCAAGAGTCGTAAACTAATGGTAAATACAAATTTGTGCGACAACTTAATTATTAGGTGGATTTACCATACATTTATGAAAAAAATACGTACTTATGTTATCAAATGTCGTATTTTGTTATACCTTTATTAAGTTTTTGAAATATGTTATATTTTTTGTATATTTGCGAGAATATTATGTCGTCCTAATGGTTAAAGTTGGCCTAACGCAAGCCCTACAGGTTGCACCTAATCAGTATTTAATACAACAGCAACAACAAATCAACAGTAAGCCGTTAAAATCCTACTAAGGCTATGTTTGGTAAAATTAGCTGATAAGCTAGCTTATAGCTTATATGTAATTTTTGAGCTTATAGCTTATAGCTAATGACTTATAGCTGAAAAGCTAGCTTATATGATAAAAGGTGTTTGGTAAATTAGCTGATAAGCTAGCTGAAATAAAAAAATTCAACTAACTTATTTGAAAAACTACCTAAAGTAGCTTATGAAATAAGCTCGAGCTTTTTAAAAAAGTTCGTCCTACCAAACGAGGCTTATTTTAAACAGGGAGCTTATAAGCTAACCAAATAAGCTAAAAGCTAGCTTATTTGGCTTACCAAACATTGGGGTCGGCAATAATCAGTGTTTAATATTAATAATATTATATACAATGAACTAATATATACATAATAGAAATATAAAATATAAATTTAAAAATAATATAAACATAAATTTATATTTATCTAAACATATAGCTTAAGCGCACACTCTCGAATTTTATGAAAATAACTTTGTGTATTTTAAAAATATAAATTTTATTGATTTTGTACAGATCCTAAATATTATGAAAATATGCAATCGAATAATGTGAAACAAATTGTGAACAAATGAATATTTTTTTACAAAAAAATAAGGCAGATATTTGAGAATGACATTTGAAAATATCTAGTCATGCATGTGTGATGATGATCAATGAAATCGCTGGGGCAATGAGATCTTGCATTGTGATGATGGTCAATGAAATCACAAAGAATAGCAAGAAAAAAGGGGAGTTACACACACATTTTCTAAAGATGCCCTCACAAAACATGCTAGCATTAGTCGAAGCTAGCTTCAATCGGATCATGATGCCACTTAAAATGAAACCGAACTCCTTCAGATACAGCCGACTTACTTATTTAATCGACATGAATTTATACCTATGCCCTGTTTTAGAAAAGTTTTTATCCGTATTTTATCATCGAATGCAACTGAATATAAATTCCAAGTTGGAGAGAATCACTGCTCGTATAGAAAGTTAATTACTTTATAAGCCTCCATCACTAGAGCTTAAAAAGAAGAGTACATAATCCTGAGCAGTTGGCATAAAAAATGCCCCAAAATATGAACCAACTTTAGTTCCCCTCTCCTCAGTTACCTCAAATGTTTATCAAACTTATGAAAAATGTTACCGGAAAATCAGTTGGCGAACTTGGTCACAGAACTGTTATCAGCAATGGAATTGTCGAAAATGCTTCGTCTTTTCTTGCTTTGCTCCTCTTTTTCCTGACGCTCAAAGTGCTTTTGTGCATGACTTGCAACTTGAGTAGGGTTTCTTGTTAGGACCATGTATCTTGAAATGCTTTTCCAATCTCCTTTTCCGTATTTTTCCAGCCCAAGAAGAAACAACCTGTATTATTACACAAACACCAAAAATGAAACAACGTTCATGCAAATGAAGAAAAAAACACGCAAACCACTACGGCCAAATGATGATTTTTAAAGTATATCAATGCGCATAATTAATAGAAAGGAAGAAAAATTACAATAGTACAAAATACAAGCGTCGTCTTACTAAAGAAAAACTATAAATTTTCCATTTTTGTCGATGCCCGTTGGTTTTGGCGTAAAAAAGAAACGATCAAATACCATTTAAACCAACAATAAATTTTCTGATTTCAATAATAATGATCAAATTAGAATAGATGTCAAATCATGTTTTTAGCTCAAAATAGACAGACATGCAAACTCATGAATTCTCCGCTCCGCATATACCTTGTAACGAAAACTAACGGACTTAAGTCAAATCATATTACAATAGATGTCAAATCATGTTTTTAGCTCAAAACATACAGACATGCAAACTCATGAATTCTCCTCTTCGCATATACCTTTTAACGAAAACTAACGGACTTAAGGCTAATATACAAGCGACGTTTGATGTGATAACTTTCATATTAATCACAATAAATTTACACTAATATTGAGTCTTCTTTATACATTTTGTATACTGCAATACCTTATATTCTATATTATTAGTCAAAGTTTATATGTTTGTAACAAGAATTATGGCCTTGAGCATTGCCCTGATCAATCATATTTTTCATAAAATTTCACCACCTCTATCGTTGGACATCGTTTCTAATTTTCTCTCTACAAAACAACACCACCTAATATTTCCTATTATTTTATATTTTAAAATTAGAAACATTATATATTGTTCAAATCAATCCAAATTACATTCTTTGCTTTTACCATATGAAAACCAATCTCGATTATTATCCGAAAATGATCCAAAAATGAGAACAATAGTTAACAAATTTAATTGAATTTCAATCTTACCTATGCTCATCCTCGGTCCACGGCCTGCCCGTTTTCCTCTGGGCGCCGCCGCCGGCTTGCTTCTTCTCCGATTTAGGGCATTTCTGCGGCTCCGACGACCGGCCCACGTCCCTATCCCTGTACTCCGGCGACTCGATCAGCCCCGACTCAATAGCCCTCAAGTCCTCCAACAAAACGGCGTAGTGGCGCTCAACATCCGCCGCCGATTTCGTCCCGATCCTGGCCGCGATTTGCCCCCACCGATCGGGAAAATCCTCCGGAAAATCGACCAGGCAGTTTTCGAATTGCTTGTCCTCTTCCCAGGTCCACTTCGCGTCTCCCGCTCCGAAATCGCCATTGCTCGGGTCGCCTGACCCGATCGTGCGGCTATCCATGATTACCCCTTCTTTTTCTTCTTCACCGGTAGAATTTGAGTCTCTGGAGTCCTGATTTCGAACATATATACACACACACACACACACACAATCGAGAGGAGATTGTAAATGCAAGAATCTCCGGAGGGTTTTTTTTCTCGTTTTTATTACCTTTTCTAGGTTAAAGCCTCTTATTTTGGGATTTTTTTCCGCATCTGCTCGGGATTATTGGCTTTCTTTGAGAAATCACGCAGAAAATGTGAACAAATTTTCTTCGCGCTAATTGAATGCTGAATTTTTCGCCGGCGGGAACCGGAAATCGGAAATCTGCGGGTTAGATCGGCTCCGATGAAGTTTAACTCAAATCTAACCCGTCGGAAAACTGTGCTACAAAGAAGGTCCTTTTTGTGGGTTAATTTAATGGGGGAAGATCACATTTTTCTGTGGGTAAGTTTCTAAATTTTCTCCTCAAAATGAGGGAAAAAGCAAAGCGTTTGATTCGGCCACCGCTATTAATATGGGATTTCAAGTAAAGACTGTGTCCAATGTTTGGATTTCTTTTAACTAGGATTAGACGATAATGTTAACTCACTACAATTAATTGATATGGAAATGTTACGGTCTGGTTACGGTACTATCATGTCGGGTATTTTAACCGTTGGATCTCCATATAGTTAGATAAAATAGATGATCCAACGGTTAAAACACCCGACGAGATGGTACCCTAACGGAACCGTAGCATCTCCCTTAATTGATAAATTATTATTTAAACAGATGAATCTCTTCTTTACAACATCTGATAAGCTAGCTTATAATTCATCAGTAATTTTCGAGCTTATATCTTATTACTTATACTTAAGATTGAAAAACTAACTTGTATGATAAAAGTGTTTGGTAAAATTGACTACAATTAATTGATAAATTATTATTTAAATGGATGAATCTATTTCTTTACAACATCTTTGCAGAGGATATGTCGGGTAAAATTAGCTGATAATATAGCTTTTAACTTATCATAGCTTATAGCTTATAATTTATTATTGAACAACTATTTTATATGACAAAAGTGTTTGTAAAATTAGCTGATACGCTAGCTGAAATAAAAATTTCAACAGACTTATTTGAAAAGCTACCAAAAAAGTTTATGATATAAGCTCGAGCATTTTTGTGTAGTATTCATTTTTTGTATCTGTAAAATTCAGTTTGTCTTTTTTTTTTCCCTTAATTATTTCGTGTTTTCTTTCATTAGTGGAAATGGATTTATTAACAATAAGATTTTTTTTTATTAATTCAAGAAAATTTTTTGTATTATTTTCAAAACAGTAATCTATAGTAATATAAAAAGGTTGTTGGAAAAATACAAAAATAGTATGTTTGACTTGAGAAATAATGTTTTGACTTACTTATTTAAGTAACACCAATGGACCCCACGCGTTAAAATTAAATTTAAGTAATTAATTTCTCATAGCAAAATTAGTTCGGATTTTCTTAACCAATTCAACGGATTCTGTTGGATTTTATACATTCACAATTTTAATAAGTACTACAAAATCTTAAAAGATCATTAATTTAAGTAATAAATCTCTCATAGCAAAATTAGTTCGGATTTTCTTAACCAATTCAACGGATTCTGTTGGATTTTGTATATTCACAATTTTAATAATAACTACAAAATCTTGAAGCTTAATTTAAGTAATAAATCTCTCATAGCAAAATTAGTTCGGATTTTCTCAACCAATTTAGCAGATTCTGTGTGATTTTATATATTCACAATTTTAATCATTATTACAAAATCTTGAAGATCGTTAATTCAAGTAATAAATCTCTCATAGCAAAATTAGTTCAGATTTTCTCAACCAATTCAGCGGATTATGTGGGATTTTATATATTCACAATTTTAATAATTACTACAAAATTATGAAGATAATGATCAAAATTGCCTTACCAAAGTTATAAGATTTTTTTTAACTATATTGCTAGGATTTTGATTAATTTTTTATATAAATTGTTGTTACTAATTTTCCACGATAACTACAGATTTTGTGGGCAGCTACAAAATTGACGATTTGACGGCTTTTCAGTTTTCACATTTGTTTGGCAATTATTTTTTTTTTTTTTACCAACAGATATATGATCCGATTTTGTAGAATTTTATTTGTTCACAAATTTATTAATTAAAACATATTGCATCGAAATTGTACATATATTTTTGCCAACTCATCATAAGCATAATCAAGTAAATCGGATAGGATTCGACGAGATATTAATCGTATCAGAATAAAAAATATCGGATAACTGTTGAATCCGCGAGAGATTAATCATATCCCTATAAATATCATATATTTCTAACGCATTCATCGTATTACATCCAATCCCATACTCTCGGTTCCTTCTACAATTTTTTTTGTTCAGTTTATCCAATATCTAATGCCGACATCCTTCTTTTTTTTTTCTGGCAGACGTACATCTGTGTGTGAAGAACCTTTAAGTTGTGAAGAACAAAATTGGAGGAAAAAGCAATAGCGACATTGTTCACAACATCATCAGAAAAAGAACAAGGATTGACCCAAACAAAGGTAATACATACCCATAGATTATATATATATATATATATATATATACTTGCTTAAAATACTAATAATAATCTAATAATCTAAAATTTATCTAGGATATATCTTTTTCGATTTACCTTCTTACCTGCGATTTTGTTGATATATAACATTCTAAGTCAATTTCTTCTGTTTTCATTATTCTCGAACAAAAACTTAAGAAAACATAAACAGTTATAGATACGTTTTTGGTGATAAATGAATTAAGTTATTACTCCAATATTTTGTTTTTCTTTTTGTTTGGAGGGGAGGTGGGTGGAATATAATATTGAAAATAATTCAATATAAACTTGACAAAGGAAACAACAAGACTAACATAAGTTATCAACATTTGTTGGTTTTAAAAATGCTGTATGAAAACTTGACAAAGTGAAGCTAATATTGTATAAATATGAACTTGCCTCTACATGTTTGAGTCATGTCTTTTGTCTTTTGTGCACCTGTTTGATGATGTTTACTCCAAGTCATGCATGTATAAGACAATATTAATTAGATTGTAACATGCTTATGCATACAAGAACATGTATTTAATAATTTAAATATAGTCCATAGACATATGACACTAGCAACAATACAAATAATGTAGAGTTTGTAAAAATAGCTAATTTCAATATCTATATTTCATAACAGTTCATATTGAAGGTATTATTGTGATAACATATAACCTTTTATGCTTATCTCTAACCTACAAAAATCACACAGGTCAAAATAAAACAAGTATTACACACGCATTTAACTTTTATGCTTATCTCTTACTCTATTGTTTATGTGAGAATATTAAATAATTCCAATGATAATCTCAATACCATTTATGCTTATCTCTAACCTCAATGCAACAACCACATGCTTAGTTTACCAATATATAACTTCTTTTATTGATTAGCGTTTATAATTTATAAATTACGGGAAAATACTCACTATTTCTTCCTGTAATCAGCTTTGTCCATATTTCTTTTATTTTTCGGTTACTCTCTTATTCAATCCTATACAAATATGTACTGATAAATTATCAGTTCTAATTTCTCATTATTTTCTTTGTTTCAGTTCAACCAGCAAGATATATTGGGGATATTAAAAACAACAAATTACGGGATGGAGAATTTAGATACCAAACGTAGTTGGAAAAGTAAAGAAAGAGACTGAGTCGAAAAAAAAAGCAAACTAGAAAATGTTGGTTTTTATGAAACATTAATTTATGTATTTATATGCAAGCTTTACCTTTATATTTACTGTATAAGTATGATTGAGGTGGTTGACGTCTTTAGGGTTATGGTGCATTTTCAGATTAGTTTTCGAGCACATGCTACCAATACCCAAAAAAAGATATTATAAGAACAATACAATTCAATGTACGATAATTAAAGTAGCGAGCATTCACATCATTCTGCCAAAAATAATAATAATAATAATAATAATAATAATAATAATAATAATAATAATAATAATAATAATAATAATAATAATAATAATTGTAGAACGAATACAATGAAATCACATACGGTTCTGAATTTATGTGTGAAAATTTCAAATCGATTACAAAATGTTGAATCTTTGTATAAAATACAATCTAATACGTTTTTGCTTTTACAAAAATCTACTTTTCGTTATCAAAATTGTAGATCGAGCACAAAAAAATCAATCTGGGTATCAAAGTCGAGTTAAAATGAGAAGTTTTTTTTTTA